ACATTTCCAGAAAAACCCTAGAATGAATCCTAGGCAGACGAAGAACACCAGACACCTACCTTCACGTAACCCGTCCGGCGATCGAGGTTCAGATTGAAGTTCTTGATCTCTCCATATTCAGCAAACAGATCCGTCACGTCCTCCTCGGAGGCCTCTTCATGAATGTTAGTCGCGATGATAATCCATCCTTCGATACTGCGCACTGCAACAGCTGACGCTTGCGTTCTCGGATCAGAGGTATTGTTGCCCGACTGCGCGGGGACCTCCACCTCTTCCTCCTGCGCCACGGGAGGGTCGACTTCCATTTCTGTAGACATGATGGGAGGGAGGTGAGACTGGATTGACCGAAATTAAAGGCTCGAAAAGGGTGGATAAAGGGAGGGATTTTGGTCCAAGGTGGGCTGTTCAATGACCAAACTGTTGCAATGCGATGGATCTTCGCGAAGCTTGCGGTGTGCTTATGTAATCGAATGATATCCAACGACGGTCAATGTTGATGGCCATTTTATACCACTCTCAATGCCACCAATATTCGTCAAGAATGATTATCGACAGAAGTATTAAATATAGGACTTGTGAGAGGAGGTTTTATGTTTGACTGATATGTAGAGGCTTCTCCCGAAAGCCTTTCATAGCACTTTCATATACGCAGTATAGTATATTGCACCAATGAAATACTAAGACGTAAGAAGAGCAGATTCGCGATTTACAAATCAGGGGAATTGTAACACTAGACGATTTATAATTCTCGGCCTTTATTGCAGCTCTAGTGACTGCTCATCAGTCGGATGTATCGCAGTGAAAATATATGTATAGTACTACAACGCAAGCAGATAGGGTCAACTAGAACTACTGAGTAGTGTATCTAGATGCTCATAGCTGAAAGATGCAACAATTGCAATAACGAAATGCTCATAACAATAAACTCGAGATATATACTACTCCTACAAAGAGCTGTGGGGATAAAACAGGCTCAATTCTAGTAGCTAGCTCGGCTGTATCCCATGTACTGTATACCTTTTAACGATCAAGTCCCGCCTGCAAATGTTGTTATCCAGACAAAAATTTCTCCTGGTTACAAATTTCAATCGTCTCTTCACTGAGTGAGCTATCATTCAACTGTACTTACTAGCGGCATAGTATAGCGCTTGTAATCACTCTCTATCACCACCCTCATCCTTTCGCAGAGAATGATAACATGATGTCGATGAACAGGGTAGATATGAGGGATTTATGGGACTCTCTGTTAAAGACACAGAGAAATCTAAGCTGAGAGACATTCACTGCCATCAGTTATTATACTGACGCCAGCAGTACTTTGTAACCATGTCGTGAATTCCTGTGTTCCTGCTGAGGATGGTGTGCTGGATCTAGTCTGAGTAGCTGAGAGCTGATAAAAGAGCTTTCCCTGTGTACTTTTTTGCTACTGTAGGAACAGAGCTTTGGCTGGATATCAGTGAATCAATTCCAGCCCCTCGATGTGAATGTGACAAACACGGCGACAACATGAGCCCCGTCCTCATTCTAGCTGCCCCTGTGGCCTTCTTCTCCCTTTTGCTTGCTCATCATCATCGATATAGACAAGCTATAACCCAGGTATTCGAAGAACCACCCTTCTCCTCTCAATTCCAGGCAAAACTTTCATTCATTGAGCGATAAAGAGAGACTGCGCCGCGATGAGCGGCAAGTCAGTCTCGAATCTACCCTGGTGAGCTCGATTTTCGGCAATTTCCTCTCCATATAAGCAATAACCAGTCCTCTAACAAATCAATATCCTGACAGTGACAATCTCCAATGCTTCTGCCACTTCCGCTCCCCCAAGCCATATCCCAGAATCGAAGCAGTTCTGACAGGCTCTGCACCCGACCAAGTCCGCGAGCTGCACCAGCCAAACAGCAAGCTCGATATAGCATTCGACGTGGTAGGCTGCATCATGACATTGAACGAATGCATCCACGATCCTTCTCGACCAAACATTGGCTACTCAGTCAGTCTGATGATCAAAGCGGCAAACACCCACTTCGTGAACCTGGAAGGCCTTGAAGACCACTCCCTCCTTCTAACCATTCGAATCCGCCATTCAGCATGCGCCGTGAGAGGCAACAAGATGATACTGAAGGAAAAGTCCAACGGATACTACCCTGACCCTCCATATAGTCGACTCTACAATGATCTGTTCGAGTGCCGTTGGCCTGAAAAGACGCTCCAGGTTCGTCTGCCTGAGGAGAGATGTCGACGCTGGAAGACAGTCGCTTTGATATTGAGGACTTTCGGGCAGATCAATGGAGACAGCTACTGTCATATGGCGAATATGATGTTTACTCCTCGAGTGGGTGGGCTTAATGTGCGTCAGATCAAGAAGGATATCAAGATGGAGCTAGCGAAGAGTGATCATAGGCGAAGGGAGAATCCTGTGTCTCCTGAGTACACGGTTACGGTTAACGAACCGGAGAAGATTGAGAGGCTTAATCATGCTTATGAGGTTCATCTTCTTGCGTTTATTCACAGCTCGTCTCGATTTCTTCGGCCACAGTACCTGTAGGCTGTCTACAGAGTAAGGAGAGCTTGTGTGGAGAGACACGTTATGGCGGAATGCGGTTCTGTTTCTCATAATATCGTGGTGAAGTTTGTTGATGGGATTCAAGGTACATAGTTCAGGCGTCTGGCGTCCAGTGTTGCTTTTCTTTCCTAGGGATAGGATGATTGGAGATTTGCAAAGATGAACTGTATCGGGGTTTGCGCAGACTGTCGAAGTTTTGCCAGTGATTTTACTTTTACACGAGGTACGATGTCATGAAAAAGAAGCTATGTGACTGTATGTTGAATGATATGTTTCAATAGCCCAAATCTCCACAAGTTTGGCAGTGAGCCTTCACTGAATGATATTTTAGAGTAGACTGAAGAAGAAAGGAAATACGTCTAGGCAAATGATTTGATACGGATACTTTAATCCAAATTTATAGAACTATTGGATGTAATAGGTCAACAATGCCTAGTTAATGCTGAGAAGCTTCATCACACGTTCTTCTATCTACTCTCTGAAGAACACTGCCGATGTGAACCTCTTTAGGCAAGATTGGGAGCGACAATGCCTGATATATCTCCCATAGTGCATGAAGCTATGCATACTTGTACTTTGTATATGTCGAAAAGGTGGTAAAATCACGACCCACCGTGGCAATTCTGACCGACTATTCTACCTTCCTACCCCTACCTTGTATGATGTCATTAGAATAATTCTATTAATAGGTGCGAGGGTATGAGATGGAGAAGCTGGAGGTCTATAGTAGTCTAGCTTTACGATGGTAGTATATACTTCCTACGGATAGCTTTGAATGTGTTCATGGTGATGGATTAAGAGTGGAGATTAATTGATTTCCACCTCTAGGTATCGACAAAAGTAAGTTCCATCGGATTTCTCTGTCGCCACGGTCCCTTGTCACCGGGAACGGCGTGGCTGACCCATGACCTCGTTGGCCAAAAGTGCAGACAGATAGTTGTTGCCCTTCCATATACAGGCTGAATTATTTGGTGGAAACCATGCAGCAAATACTAATACAATCGAATTTTCAGAAAGACAAATGCCACTTAGTTCCGAATCATCGTAGTGTCCGAGACCGTGTATATTAGGGTGCTGAGTGCAATGAGATGCTCATGCATTTGGGCACCCTGGCGTTACACCAGGGCGATCATAGAGTTGCAAATGCGAAATGCGTTTACCTCCGGTTGTTCTGGCGCATGCCCAGGATCTGGACCATACGGACGAAGATGTTGATGAAGTCCAACTCAAGGCTGATACTCTCGTTGACGACATCCTTGCGGACCAGGCCTCTCTGAGCCATGCGAGCGTGGTGGAGGATCTTCTGGACATCATATAGGGTGAAACCACCGAAGACAGCGAGACCACCGTACAGCCAGATCTTCTCGGACCACATCAGAGCGCGGGTGGCAGTAGCGGGGAGGACAAGAGGAGCGAAACCGGAGAGCGCGACAATGGTCACACCAGCGAGCAGAGGAGCACCAAGGTACATGTACTTCTCCTGCTTAGCAGTGGCACCGACGAAAGCAATGGCACCCATCATTCCAGCGGTGTAAAGACCAGCGCGAGCAAGAATAGCCGGGTGCATGAACATCAGGGGAGACAGGAGCGCGGCCTGGGTGACGTTGAAAGCGGCCCAGAGACCATACTTCATTACGTAGCTAGTGATTTGTCAGTAAACTGTCAAATAGGAAAACAAATGCGTTGGTGCAAGTACTTACTTGTCAGGGTTCGTGTACAGAGTACCATACATGGTTCCGACGCTGGCAACCAGACCAAGACCGATGACAGCCCAGGGGCTGGCAGCCATCAAACGGTAAGACCATCCGTTGGTGTGCAGAGCGCGAGCAGCGATACCAATGATACCAATACCAAGTCCAGTGTGCATAAACGTCTCGTTCAGGTAGCTGCGCTCAAACGGAGGCATGCCACCATCCTCTCTGGTTTCGCGGTTGAAGATGAAGTTCGTGGCCAGGATAGTACCACCGATGATGGTGGCGCCGTAGATCAGCTTCTGGGTGATGTTGCCACCCTGAACATTGTAGGAAGGCTGCATGTAGGTGCGACGGAAAGCATTTTGGAAGGTCTGACGGGACTTTGCGAAGATGGAGATGGGACTGGTAGGCTTAGACTGGGGCTTGAAGGGCGTGTTGTGGATGAAACGGGCGCTATTCGCAGGTTTAGAGATTTGCCGAAGCGCCGTAGGAACGGCGAACGGGCGTCGCAAGAAGAACGCCATGATTGTGACGATGATGTCGAGGTTGTTGGAGATGAGGAGAAGCGATGGAGAGCGGCGGATGGCCGGCTATAAGAATGATATCAGTCATCCGTCGGCCAGCCGCTACGGTCGCCCGAACGTTCGAGAAGTGAAGTCACGTGGAGATGAGCGCGTCGTGAGTCAGCATCACCGCCTCGGCGATAAGTTGGCGGGGGAGGGGAATTATCAGGATTTAGGACTTAACGGACTTGCACGGCTACACTGCTATTGTCATCATCTCGGCCCGGAATTCTACAACTGCGTACTCTCTTCGATTCCATTCTCGATAATTCCCTTTTGGACTTCACCTCTGCGTCACTGTTCCCATCATGTCTGCGCCATTATTAGAAACGATCCACCTTTCGCATCTGCCTCCGTCGATGCCCGTGCATGTCGCTCTTTATCGGGATGTGCAGAATGCTCCGTATCTTCGCCAGCAGCTCATGTCCGCCAATGCGGAATTTGAGTATGCTTTCATTGATGCAAGCACGGTACGAAGTCAGTATGTCTCTCGGCGGAGCGACAGCTAAACATACTGCAGGTCCTCTCAAGAACACACCTTCTCTCCGCGGTTTTCAGAGCAGTCAATGATTATATGAACGGCCGCCTCAAGTCTCGGAATGTGCATTCTGAGATGGTCTTTTCGCTAAGCCCCGCGACAAATGTACGTCTACAATCAGCTACCAACCGACTTCATGGGCAATGCTGACCACATCTAGATTGCTGAATCTTTCCGCAAGTTCGGCATTACCGATTCCACAAAAGACTTGCTAGTAGTCAAGCTTTCCGTGACTCCGGAGATTACCCACGATTCGGTCGCAGCCCATCTGGGACAAAATGTTGAGGGAATGCCTGTGCCATTCGACGACGAAACTCTGTCAAAGATCTCTGACATTGCAAAGATCAAGAAGGCCTACAAGCTGGGAGCGTTGAACACTACGCCGCCGAACCAAGCAAACGACACCCAGGATAATGGCATGCGCCGGCTTGAACTGTCAGTTCTGGGAGCGATTGCTCTGCGGGGAGCGACTTGAACATGATCTTGGAGATAAGAAGCTTTATCCTACCCGATCTCGCTCGTTTGGGGAACCAGAGCCCTGTAAATCGGGCCAGCCATATGCAGAATGTCTGCACCATCCGACAGTCAGAACTTCTGGCCGATGCCGTTTCGAAGCATTTGCGCCCAGGAGCTACGTCTGTGCAGATAGATGTCTGGCAAGAAATACCCATGCAAGATATGTCTATAAGAGTCACGATCAGTACATAGAACGCAGGGCCGTCATTCATAGAGTCAGTGTGGAGCACTGATTACGGCTCTTTTTCTACACAGAAATAATACTTTAGAAGATGCTATATGTCCTATATTCCATTTTATATATAATCAATTAATACATCACCTTAATGCTTCAAATGAAGAACATACCTTGGTTGCCCTGCCCACCGCATCCCCCATCCCAAAGCGGTAATCATGCAACTTTGCCAAGCCCGGCAACTCTCTCCGCATCATCGCGACTGAATCGATCTAGACACCCACCGTCCGGAGCTCACCCATAGAGCATAACACCATGCTCACTAGCGCATGGGGGAACCATTCTTAGCGTACAACACTCACCAACCCGAACGCGCGCTACTGCCGACTAAACGATCATCCTGATCTTCGTTGCGACTCGCCACCATGTCCGCCACCGCGGAGGTCCTGGTGCTTTCCTCCTCGCCGGAGCGCAATCCAGTCCATACGCCAGCGCCGCCTGCATATGATCCCGAAAGGCTCTTCGGATTGTCTCCAGTAGACGTCGAAACGACTCCGATACCGTCTCCGTCTGAGTTCTTCTGTCCTCCGACGCATTCTAAGTTTTTCGAGGTTGGGAACCGAGTCGATGAATCGCGCCGCAAGGGATTCCGCAAGAATTCCATCAACTTGACGAATGATGAATCGGCTGTTATAACGCTAGAGGAAGAACCGGCGGCAGATAAACCGAAGCGAAGGGGTAGGCCAAAGAAGGAGCAGAAGAAGGCTGCGGAGGAGTCGGGGTCGTCTGTCGTGGGCAACGAGAAGACTACTGCGAAGAAGACTACGACAGGTGCGAGTAAGAAACGCGCTGAATCTGCGGCGAAGCGCTCGAAGCCGGTAAACAAGACGATATCAGGGAGGGTTGCGAAGGCAGGCAGTACGCAACCTAAGGAGGCTGGCGAGAAGGCCATTTGTCCGTTGACGCCACCGGCTGTTCTGTCCCAGAAGACTACGAGGGATGTGCTTGATTGGGAAAGGGATGGCTTACAGCTTGAACAAGCGATGACGCGGAGATTGGACTGGACACCTACAACAAATAAGGCTAAGGAAGTCGTTCAGTTGGAAGGGAAGTCAGGGCCAGATGATACTATGAGGGGCTTTGGTAACTTGTTGTCAGAGTATGGATTTAATGGGCCTGCTGCTCCAGCAAGCGACCATGTGCCCTCTGATAATGGTGGACCGACGAAGCGAAGGCGGATAGAGCTGGTTGATCCCGGAGTATATCCTGCTTCCAGACAAAGTGTTGCCGACGATAGTGAGAAGGATAGCACAGAGGGAACCCGCAAGTCAACACCAGCCGCACGAAAGAAACCCACGCAACGTGCCAAGAAGTTCACCACGCTCACTGCCCGTGTGACAGCGAAGTATATCAACGAGTCTACAGAGGGCTCAGATGTCGTGGAGGAAGAGACACCAAAAGCGAAGCCTAGAGCTTCAAAATCAAAGAAAAAGGGCCAGGAACCCGAGTTTGTGGTGCTCTCCCCCGAAGAAGCTGCCAAATCCCTCGATGATCAGGAGCTGGTATTCGGCACGTGCAGCCAGTTGGAGCGGGAGGACTCACCCACTACTATAAGAGAGCTGCAGGCAGCTATTAGCGAGTCGGAACGGAGCATGACACTGGAAGCCGGCGGTCGTCCGCACCGAATGCAGAGCAGGGGGTCATCTACAGTATCGCGTTTCAATGGCTCAGGAAACTTGTGGTCAGTCGCATCTCGAGATGTCGACGGTTCACTAATGCACGTGGAGGTAGTGGATTTGGTGAACTCGCCAGATAGATCTGGGACTATTACTCCGGATGAACAACCTAGCAACGTCAGGGGAGAAGCTGAAGCCGAATGCAATACCGGCGATATGAACCCTACCCAGAAAGATAGTGACCAGGCGAAAGCCACTTTGACAAGCGAAGCACAGCCTATTATACCTGCTCCGACCACCCAGACAACGAACAAGACGGCTCAGAATGCCACATCCGTTTCCCGCAAATCTGACCCTAAGATGCCGCAATACGAGAACTTCACAGATGACCAACTATCGAAACAAGCCGCCTCATTCGGCTTCAAACCACTCAAAAACCGGAAGAAGATGATCGAGCTGCTCGAAAAGTGCTGGAAAGCAAAGAACGGCATACCATCAGAGATGAATGACGAAAACGCACAGCAGGATCTGTCTGCGGACCCTGCACCAGTACCTGCCCCGGGCAATAAGCCAAAAGGAAAAGGCACGACACGGAAAACCACCACGAAGGCGAAAGCCAAACCTCAATCTGATGCACCATCAAAGCTAACAACAATAACGATATCCACGCGCTCAAACAGCCCCAACCCCAACTCCATAATCTCAACATCACCTCCCAAACCACCCCCCTCCTACGCCAACGTCGAAGAGATCGAAGACTCCGAAGACGATTCCGACCCCATCCCATTCCCCTCCCCCAGCCGCCTCCTACCCAAAACCCTCCAAACGAAGCACAAACACACCCCCTCCCTACCCACATCCAACATACCATCAAGTCCTAATCGAACTACAACCACATCCACCTTCAAAGACCCAGAACCCCCCGCCATCCTCCACCCCCTAACCGACCAAATCACCAAAGCTGTCCGCGCCCAATCCGCAACCCGGACTGCATCATCCCGCACACAGAATACTCACACGAGGAAACAAACCTGGCATGAGAAAATTCTCATGTACGACCCCATTCCTCTGGAAGAGTTCACGACATGGTTAAATACAGAAGGATTGGGTCTTGTGAATGAGGACCGGGAAGTCGGGGCGGGGTTCGTGAGGAGGTGGTGTGAGAGTAAAGGGGTGGTTTGTTGTTATAGGCCGAAGAAGAGGGAGTGATGTTATTCTCTTTTTCTTTTAATATAGATTATTTTGGATTTGGAGTGGGTTTGGGGGCTGGTGCATTGGGAGTTTACACTAGATTATCATTGTGTTGATTTTTGGGAGGGAGTTGGTTTATAGCTCTGAGGTGGTTGTTGGAGTTATGGGTGCATGTAGTATACTAGAGGTCTTGGATTAGGTTAGGGTTTGGTTTGGGTTCATTGGTGCCGTGGTTTGATTGGTTCGTAGCCTGGAAATACTATACCCCTTTACTTGATCTCGAATAACATCACTAAGGTAGAGCAACTACTACTAATATCCAGCATACTACTGAAGACTTACCAACATCTTCTAATCATGTGAATTGAATAGAGGTAAATGTAGATATCATTTCAAACAGCAATGCAAGTCCCATTCATTAGGAAGCCAAATAGGAAAAAAATTATATTAGACAGACGCTGTCCCCAAAAAAATAACAACCTAACCATCAAACAACCCGAAAACGTTTATCGATTCGTAAACATATCATATCCATACTCATTCATCATATAATCTTTTCATCATATAGTATATACCACCAAACATAGGAGGGAGATTTCCCCCCTTCTTACTACTACCACCATGTCAAACATCTCCAAGCCTAGCCTAGAGGGGAAAGCCTAAAGAGGATAGTAGTAGTAAGTAAACAAGCAAGTCGTAGAATAACTATTCTGGAATAGTATGTCCACAAAAAAGGAAAACTCAAGCAACTGTCCAACTCCTTAGATACCATACCCTCTACCACAGAGAACCCAACACCAACGCACCCAGAAACTAGCACCAATACCCAATCAACTATAGTCTGCTGCTACTGCTGCTGCTGCTGCTGCTTCTTCCTCCTCCCACCCCTCTTCGCCTTCTTCTGAGGCACATTATCAGTAGCAGCAGTAGCAGCAGTAGCAGTAGTGGTAGCCGCAGAAGTCGGGGGCTGCGAAACGCCCGCCGACGATGACGGCACACCACCAACCAAACTCATACCTTCGTGCGGGTAGCCCGCAGCAGCAGCGGCAGCAGCAGCAGCAGCAGCAGCACCCCCGGGCATGCTCGCCCATGCTAGAGCGGCGGCGGCCTCAGGGCCATAGAGATTGAACTCATTTGAGCCCAGATACTGAGTGAGAGCATGGTCGGATATTTCGGGGTATGTGGAGCCTGCAGCGAGTTGGGGGTCGTCTTGACCCTGCTCGTAGGGGTAGTGGGTTGAGTACCCCGGGGTGTTGATCTGGGGGAGGGTTTCGTAGTTGGTGTGTTGGCTTTGTTTGGGGGCGGCCATTTGTTGTTGTTGCTGATGCTGATGCTGCTGATGCTGCTGGTATTGGTATCGGGCGAGGTCTTCGAGGGCATTGGGGTGGACTTGTCGGGTGGATTGGGTGTACATGTTGTTGTTGTTAGTGTTGCTGTGTTGCAAGTTGGTGTTCTCGGGTCGGGGGAACTGGGTGGAGGCAGAGGATTCGGTCGCAGGTGGTGCTGGAATGGTGCTGGAGGGCTGCGCAGCAGCATGGCGTTGCTGTTGCTGTTGTTGCTGCTGCTGCTGCTGCTGCTGCTGGAAACCCGGGGGAGGGGCGAAGAAGGGCTGATTGGGCATGTATGGAGTGCTAGGTGGGAAGTTGGAAGGGAATTGGCTCGCTGCCAGATGGGTGAGTTGAGCGTTGTAAGTGGGATCTTGTGGCAGGCCAGCCTGCTTCGGAAGCTGGCCCATGTTAACCTGCGCATAACGACCCTGATAAGCCGCGGCAGGGGGAGCTGTGGGATATTGTATAGTTCCCTGTTGACGGCCCGTCGGGTGTGCGGGCCTGGTGCCATTATCAACATGGCTGGGCATGGCTCCGTTCTGCTGTGGTCCAGAAGGCCCCTGTGCTTGGGCCCTGGAGTTTCTTCCAATATGCTGGTCAAACAGTTGTCTAACCTTAGACCCCGTCGGATCTTCAAATCCTTCCGAGACGTAGGCCTCGAAGCTGGCATCGCCCATGGTATTGAATTCAGGATGCCGCTCTGGATGGTCCTCGGGGTAGGGATCCAACGGAGAGGTTATCAAGTCCTCCAGATCACCGGGTCCGTGGGTATTGAATTCAGAGGGGTATTCATCGCAGTTGTTTGGGTTCTTTCGGCTCTGCTTGAGATAGCGTATAGTTTGTTGCATAACGATTTTAGTAGGATCCACGGCCAGAGGCTCCTCGGGAACTGGAGTGATATTCTGGATATAG